TTGCGCCGGGATCTACGGCTGGAACCGGCGATAAGTTCGTGATCTTTTTCGGGAAATTCGACCGCACGAAACTTGCTCACGATTGATCGCGTTTCATATGAACTAATATCTTCTGTTTCCAAAGTTTGCTTAATTATAGTAGGTAATTAATAATTCATATTCAAAGACATTTTTAAGATTTCAACATTTAACCTCCTTCCTCGTTATTTATAACAACACAGCGAGCCTAGACTGCGAAATAACCGTGCAGGCTGAGAAAGGTTGCCCTCGCAACGGGCGTCGATTCTTTTTCAAGCGATCGCCGCCCATAGCGCAGCCGGTGATCCTGTTTCTCGCGGCGGTGTTTCTTTTACGAGGCTGCCGCTGACCGGCGGAAGTCCGAGGTATCGACTTTCCTGCAGGGCTCGTGGCATTTACCGACCCTCCACCTCGTACACCAGAGTGTTCGCGAACCGCTGGAATTCTGAACAACCTTCTCGTAAAGCCGGCCCGCTACGAGGAAACGCTCTCTGCGTTACCCGCGAAATTGCTCCACCCGCTAATCAGACGGTTTTTCAGCGAACCGCCCGTATCCCGTGGAATTCTTCGGCAAAACACTCCCAAGACCTACATATCTCCTCCCGGATAGAATGTTTGCCGACGGTTCGTTTCGTTGATTCATCCTCTTTCTATTCGTTCTACCAATCCGACGCTTCCCATTGCCAATTGAAATTTCATTAGACAGGTGTAAATTCTTCTAACTTTCCATATTACGATCTTAACACTAAACCTATTACAGTCGAATGACTGTTTTTATTAATATTTCGTTTGGAATTTCCTGCATACAACATTTGCCATATGACCATTTAAATTCACGATTTTTCTTATATTATACGTACAATGTATTGCAAATATTTTGTTCATAATCTCCACTCATGGTAAGAATAGGTATACGTGAAATGTCGGTAGATTTAGTGTTAAAATTAGCCATAGCGTTTGATATCATTCGAGCAAGGTCCATTGCGCAATTATCAATCACTCTGTAGAAAGCCGACAACTGATAACACTGGATTTATCTCGGTCAAAATATAGCCCAGATTAGTGGACAATACCGAGAAGAGATTATTTCGGCAATCTGAAGAAAGTGTAACGATAACCGTGCTGTTTATCGAGAGTATAGTTTGCTTTGTTTCATCGTACCAAGAAATTAACGAAGATGAAGGATCGGTTATCAACGATTTACCCTATAAATTTAATCGAATAATTTTAGAAGACGATCATTTGGAAGGAAGAAATTCAAAAACAAGGAATCACAGCGATCTATTCACCGAGGAAAAGAGGGTCGGTGCTGAGATAGCTGGTGGCTCGTTTGAAAATCCCCAGACGAGTCGAACTTTTCCAGGAAGTCGTTACAGTCTGGGGGACTCCGACGTCCGCTAATTCGGCGCAAGTTTCCACCATTTTTCGCAGCCCGTCTCACGAAGGAACTCCTGTTTTATTTATAGCGGAACGCGCTTCGTTACCTTTCCGCTCGATTATCGATCCTCGAGACACTAGATACTCGACATACTTCGCCGTTCTCTCTCTCCTTTCTCCATTCCTCTCTCCCCGTTACTTACGGTATTACTTAACATTTTACCTCCTGCCTTGAGACAGAGGGAAAAGGAGAAAAAAAAAAGGTAGAAACAGAATTCTCTCCCGTCCCGTCCAACCCGGTGGTTCACGACCCGTTCCGTTCGCTCGCGGCAGGAAAAAAACTCGGCAAAGAAAAAAAAAAAGAAGCGATACTAGCACCAGAGCTCGAATTCAGCGATCGGGTTCCCAAGGGTTTTTTGCGCCACGTCTCCGCTCGAGCCGCAAATCGCGCGGTTTTATCGGAAGCAAGGCCACCGTGGCCGACACCTTCCAGTCGGATATACTTAGGAAGCCTCGTACAGACCCTCCTATACTACATCGCACCAGGGAAACCCGCTGGTTCCATTCATTTTAACGATTTATTACAGTTACGATGGAACTAGATATGGGATCAAGTTCAATTGTACCCACAAATCGAAATCAAGTCCGCGACAAAAGTTTCATTTCATGCTGCTGTTCAAGGGGATTGACAGCACGGTTTTTGGAAGATTACTTAGAAGTTTTATTTGTGCGGCTATGTGTTGCACTTTGGTAAGGAATACTAAATTATTTTGGGCCAGCAACAAACTTGGAAAACTCTACAGTAGATGTTGCTTCCACAAATATATGAATTTTGTGTATATAAAATACCTTATCTCTCAGGAAAAATCCTGGCCCTCTAAAAATTAAAGAACCAAGATTAGGATATTTGGTTGAGGATGAACCTTTGGTATTTGTTGTCTTATAACTAGTGTTGATCATCCAAAGTGCAATAACTCTGGCCATTTTTATGCCCGGACTTACGGAAAAACTAAGATAAACAGAAAATATAGCTTTCGATTTGACCGAATGCCGAGGCAATCGTCGAGGTGTTAAGAGACGTGACAGAGGAGCGTAAGACGACGGGTTTCGCTTCCATTATCGTAGAAATCGCGGCAGGGACGTTTTTTTTCCTCGTTGACCCTAAACGGCGTCCGTCTGGTCGTAAAAAGCCACTCCTCTGGCAGTGGTCGTTCGAGTTTCCGAGCGGTTCCCTCTCGGATCGCTAACGACGAGGCGCGAATCGATAAGGGTCCGCGGCTCGGTCGGTCGACTGGCAAGCGAGGCGGCGACCTGGAATCCGACGGCCCGTGACCGGAAACCGATCGTGTCGGCCGCGCTGGCCGGCCAATCATCCGAAAAGCCGCGTCCGGCATGTCTGCAACGCCGATCCCGGAAAACCGGAACCTCCGGCTTGCTCCCACTACGCCTGCCTGCCCCGCCCTACGTCCGTGCCGCTATCAAGATACCGCGGAAACGTATTCCGGCCTGTCCGCGTTCATTATCGACTAGCCGGACACGTTTTACGGCACTTCGGTCTCGCGAGCCGGAGTGATTTCCGAATTTATCACCGCCACCCGTTCCACTCGACGAACGTCGCCTTGTTCCGGCTCCTCAGGCGATTCTCGTCGCTGATAAACCGGATCTCCATATGGGTTCCGTTGTAAACTGCCCTACATATACCACCTCCGGTTGAACCAGGATCTCGAGGAATTATACGTAGTACTTCCTCGGGCACGATGATAGCAAATCGAGTATAGAGAAAGAATCGGTATGAACTTCACGGAATACGTTAACTTTTTCCATCAGAAGTCATGCTACGGCAAGACCACGGAACCGCGTTAACTTTTTACGATCCCAGCTCGCATTAACTTTCCTATTATCATACGGAGCCAACCGCGTGCTCGCAAATCATTCAAGATAAAACCTAAACAATGAATTATTAAAGTCAGGTCTTAAACGCGGATCTTTGCTCGGAAGAACCGACTAGTCAGGAAGGTCCTTAGTCATGGAGGAATATCCTGCTCTTAAAAATCGAATGATTTTGAGTAAAGGAAACTAAAATTAAGAGTACCTCTAAGGATCTGAAACTAAAGGGCTTGAAATTCAGTCAAATTGCCCTACTTTAGGTCCGGAAGGTACGGAATTCGACTCCACGCTGCGGCAGCGTTGATTATATGATCCTTATTGCATCTTTTCCTCGAAAGGAAAATTGTCCTGAAAAGTATCCTGAAACAGCCGTCTGCAAAATAAGTGCAATCTGAAGCATCATCAAATTTTTTAAACGCAAAATTCAAATATTTCTCTTCTCATGAAAAATGCCGAAGAAATTTGGTTATTTAAACTGCAATGCGCAGTGTCTCCACGTGGCTGATCAGTACCGACCGTACAGCAACGGCATACAGCATGTACGTCCTTGACGAGCCACGACTGTACGTCGCGCACGTACGTTCACGAGGGGAGTCCCTGATCCGGCGTCGAAGAGAGCCGACAGCGAAGCTAAACCGAATAAATTATTACGCAGCCTCCTCCGTCGTCGTCGTCGTCGCCGCCGCCATCGTCTCTGCTCGCCGACTCGACGATGGATGCCCCCCTGCCGTTAAGCGTCGAGCGCGGGCCGGCCTGCAGGCACAAAAGATTCATATCTGACTGGAAGCCTTGCGGAGAAGAGTGTTCCCTCAGCCGCGGCTTGAAACGGGACCCCTGAGCCCGGAGCGGGACGGGATTCGGACAATACTTGTCCCGTCCACGCTTCGGACGAAACTTCGGCATCCTCTGACTCCATCCACCGACCCGTTTTCCTCTCCGTCCTTCTCCGTTCAACGCGCGTCCCGTTCTCTGGTGCCGGGTCGAAGCCGTATACGGCCGCCGAGTGTTGCCAGACAGAGACGGCGTTTGCGTCAGACTGGAAGCCAGTAGACGAGAGAGAGAGAGAGAGAGAGAGACGCGATAAGATCCCCGTGCGAGGGAAGAAGATGGAAAGGCCAGGCAAACGCGTGGGACGAGGAGCCACCTAGCTGATCGCACGGTGTTAGAGTCAACGGTGGGTAGAGTAAGGGTTAGATTGAGGAGCGGCAGAGGAGGAGGAGGAATCTCCGGAGATTCCACGCATGGAGAGTCGTGGAACGGGCCAGACCAGGCTTGTTGGTTGCACGGAAGACAGCTGCCAGCCGGCTTACCGCCGGCGCGCATTATACCGGCTGAAAGAGGAACGGAGACGGATAGAGAGGAGAGAGAGAGATGAAATGGGTTGGGTTAGTGTTGCCTCAAGGGGGGGAGAACGGGAACGGGAAGAAAGAGGTAGCGCGTGCAGAGCCGCACAGGGTTCGAGGTGGGGGGAAGCAGGGGGACTGCGTCGGCTGTCCCGTAAAGATCAGCGCTAAAAAGTACACGCTTAGAGCCGTGCAGCCGAGCCGAACGAACGGCTGACCGGAGAAAAAAATGTGAAATCGCTGACGGGGGACGAGCGTACCGCGGTTCGCTGCTACCGAATCCGGACCAGAGGAACCCGGTAGCATTTTCGTGCCGACTGCACGGGGCCCGATAGAGCCGGGAGCTGTGTCTTACAGCGGTCTTTTTCGCTTTCGTTTTTTTTTTTTTTTACGCCGGCAATTCGTGGCACGGCGTTCTTCGAACGGCGACGAAAGGCGTGCCCGGAGACAGAAGGAAATGTTCCGCGAAAGGTGTCGGGGTTTAAAAATGATTTCCTTTTTCTTCTTTTTCCAGGGTTTTACTGGTTTCTCCACTTTTCTCTGCGAAACGTAAACATCCCTCGATGATTTCCCGTGGAAGGGCAAGGAAATAGCGAGATTAGTCGGCGAGATTTAATTCTCGATCGACGCTAGGGCAAACGCAATTTTGTTGCTCGAGGCGACTAAACGGTGGATGATAGGCGGTAGGGCGGTTTCAATCTTGCCAAAGAAGAAAGGCAAGATTGCTGAAACGAGCGATCCACGCCAGTCGGCTGGGTCATCCCGTGGCGGAAAAGGTCGCGAACTCTTAAACCAATTCTGGCAAGGAACGGTTCACGATCTTGGAAGAGTACCAGGAACTGCTGAGAACGAGAAAACCTGAACGTCGCACGATTTCTTCCTCCGTGAAGAAGTTTCTCAGATCCACCGTCGGAACCTGTCGCGAGAGACTCTCGGATTTCTAATCTTACACTTTCTTCCCATCCAATCTTCTTCATTTTCTAATATTTTTTCATTATCACAGGCTCTTCGTTAGAGTAACATTCGCTTTTGCATTTGCAATTAATTTTACCTTAAAGCGAGTATATAATATCAAAAAATGATTTCCTAAACTTTACACTCTTGTGTGTACAGAAAGAAACACGTTTTTGATGGTGGTAGAATCGCAGTCGACACGGTCGAGCACGCAAGGGGTTTGGGGTGAAAAAAGAAAAAAAAAAAAAGAGGCAAAAGCTCGGCTGGCACAAGTGACCGCTTCTGTCCTCTGTAAATTCTTCTTTCCCCCCGGAGCACGCGTGTCGCGCGTGCGACTTCCATTGTGGGACGAACTCGCGTTTCCACCCTCGTACGACGACACGGGAAGTCAGGGGCCACGGGGGTAGAGAGCACGATCCACAGTCAACACGAACGAACGAACGAACGGCATAAGCCCACCCCTGTTCCGGACCGGTCTGTCCCCCATCCCCCCGTCTCCTACCCCTCCGTGACACCCTGTCCTCTCTGTGTCTGCTGGCTGGCGTGTCGGATTTCTGTTTGCGTTACCGTGTCACGCATCGAACCCCGTCGCTTCGAATTCACCGCTGCTTGCCACCCCCTGTACTCCCACCACCATCGCCACCCCCGCGTTTCCATTTCGATCGGCCGCTCGGCTCGTGTAATCTGGACCCTCTCAAGTGTGATTCCGGCTGATCCCGCCTTCGACTACGTGAATTATTAGACAGGCATTTAGGATCGGCGCGGATCGATCGAATCCATCCTTTTCTTTTTTTTTAGCTGCACATAGGCTGTCAATGATGAAGGGGTGGCTTAGCGTGATACAAAACTAGATATGTTTTGTTTCTAAAAGGAAATTGTTGGAGGGAATGAAAAACAAGTTCAAGGTGATAAAAATTAAAATAAGGGATTTGATTCGCTTAGAATGTTTTATCTTAAAAAGATTGTTGAATTTAGATTTAATTTCTGAATTACCACCACAATTTCTGCGTTTCGCGTTCAAGTAGCAGGGATAATTTATCGCCGGGTATCGACGAGTAATTTCTCTGTACCAGAGGCAAAACATTTAACAGTTTCGAAGCTCGTGGCCGTTCGAGTGAAATCAGAAACGAGCACCATGGAACGCGGTTTCCGCTCGCAACTCGAACGCATTCGCATGTACCGGCTGAATTCTGGAAATTCCAGACTGCAACCCCGCCACCGAGAGGAACGGCTTTTATTCTTCGCCGGCACGTCAATGTACTTATTTTCCGCGGAGCTTTCCTCACTTTTCACCGGCGGTCTTGCGTTGCCGGCTCAATCCACTAAAATCTGCCAGCACCTCGAGCCAGCCATTTTTAACACCATCCCCTTTTCTCCTGTTTTTATCTAATAATCCGTTCATCGATTCAAAACCACGGGAAAAGGATTTTTAAATGAAAATATACTATAAGCAGGAATAAGGGAATTGTATATATTTACAAATTTTCTGTATTACAAAATTTTGTGTTCTTTTCACTTAGAAGTGGATTCCCAAAAATACTTTATGGAAATTTTGAAACTGATTTTCTGCATGTATAAGGAGAATGATCCAAGATATACGAACAGCACCGTTACGCGTTTGAATCCTGTGCATAAAAGAGCCGGACTGTTGCGTGCAGTTGGAAAATCCGATGGCCACAGGCTGGAAAATGTAAAAGGCGCGGCAACGACCGGCACACGGCAGTACGCATGCTTCCTCTTCAAAGGTTTCATCGCGCTATCCATCCAGTCGTTCATCCGTTCCACTCCAGCCCATCCCACTTCAGAATCCATCGCATCTATCCTCTCGCGTTCTTCGTCTGCCGCTTCTTCCGCCGCCTCTTGTCCCGACGCTTTGTTTTTCTCGCTTCCTGTCGACTCCCTACCGCCCCACACTTCGAGCAACTTTTTCCGTGCCGCCTCTCTCCTTCTCTTCGCTTCCACTTGCCTCTAACGAGGATTTGTCGGAATTTTTCTTTTTCCTTTACACTTGCCGCAACCCTTTCGCCGCGGAGACTTTCGATCAGACTGCGAACATGAATAGTGATCGAATTCTAGGTCTGATTTGAGAATCTTATGTTACAGTCGAATTTAAAAAATGCCAAATTCCCGGAATTTGGCCTAAAAAAAGCCAGGATGGCAACCCAATTTTAGATCCGTATACGTTCATACTCACTTAAAATTTATATGAAATATGTATTTCGCGACATACGTTAAGCGAGGGTGAAATTTATTACCAAGCGTGAAGCTTAAGCAACACTGTTTCAAAATCAGCCGTTCGATACGCAACAAGATAACGATGAAATCTTTCATCTCCGTTCACCTTGTTCAGCTTTCGCGTGTTCCTTTTTTCCTTCCCGTCTCGCGCGAAACAGCCTTCAAACCCGTTCGCCTGAGCAGTTCCGTGTCGATGATTTCGCAGGCGCCAAGACTCCTCTGCACCGTGCGAATCAGCCTTTAAACAGGCCGCACGCGCTGCACGGAGCTGCTTCTGGCCAGGTGGAAAGGCCGCCGCCGGCGGGGATTTTTCACGCGTGAACAAACACTCGAGCGGCGAGCGTGGAAGATTGCGCGCGGCGGAAAAACGCGCATACCTGGAACGATAACCTACAAACGTCCGAGATGGAGTCAAAGAACGAGTAGTTGGAAAGAGATCGATTCTACGTAAGATTCCTCCGATCGGAACTTCCTTTTTTCAGCGAGGAAAACGGGAGAAGTAAAGCAAGCGCTGACAGGATTAATCTCTTAGCGAGGTACCGACCGATCAAGCCGATCTCGAAAAAAGGAACCCGTTGAAATACTTTTCGGGCGTTCGCGATTTTTCCTGCTGGCAAGCGGAACGCTCGAACGAACGGCACTCTCTCTCCCGCGTTTCAAATGAAATTGCTCCGATGGAGACGCGGAATAAGCGCGCGACGATGAAAATTGATACGCCGGAAAGCCGTCCCAGGAGGAATTTCCTCCACACTTTCTGAACGTCGTAAAATAGCGCCTTTCTCTCCACTTTTCCTCGCGTGCAGATGCGAGCAGTAAAACGAAGGAAATTTTGAAAAAATATTCAAGATCCTTAATTTATAAGAGGAAGGTCGAAGACAAAGAATCCCATAATCTCCACTCGAAAAGCGTAAATAAGAAAGCATCTACATACCGTAACAGTATGTTTTACGATCTTGCCGGAGTCTCGGCGCGCACAAATCAGGGCGACGTGAAAAAGAAAGGAGAGGAAAAGAGAAAAGGTGAGAAACGAGTAAGCTAGCGTGGAATTTGAAAAATTCACGAAGCCCAGCATCCGTCATGAATCCCGTACCCGTCGCTCGGTGGCTGGGTTGGAAATGACGAGATATCGGAAGCCGGTTCTGCAACAGGATCCTGCCAGACAAGACGGAACGCACCGTTTGGGTCTGGGTGACCAGTCGAATTTCTGGCGTGTTTCATTGGTCCGCGGGCGATAACTAAGGTCAGACGCAGTTTCCTCTGCGAGCAATCAGCCGCATCGATACGGCAAGCATCGAGCGTGTAGTTGTACCCGGCTAGCTACCATGGTCTCTGATTGCATGTGGGAATATTAATCTCCACGGAGCATGGGTCGGGTTTACATCGATGCGTGCCGGTAACGACGCGCTGCCGGATGGATTTTAAATGCAACCCACCCTGCCCGAAGCATCATCCCTGCTCTCACCGCCGTTAAACATTATCCAGCCTCGCAATTTAGAATATGCGCGGATCGTTTGCGGTAGAGGGGAAGAAAAGGAAAAAAGAAAAAAAGGAAAAATGGGAACCGTTCCATCCGGAGACGCGTCGGAACAATTCAACTGCCGAGTTCGACGACGATTTGCGAGTTGGGATGTTCTCTTTTGCGGATGGCTCGCTTGGATAGCGTGCAATCGATCGCGAATGGAGAAGAGTCGTCTTTGAACAGACTGCAATGCGTTTCAAACGGGACTCCAAATAAGGCTCGTCGATGCCGAGCACCGCGTTTTCCTTTCGAAAGACAATTTTTGTTAAGGGAACAAAGACTTTGTTTTGTTGCTTCGATATTTCAGGGAAAGAGACTGAAAAATTGGGAGACTCAGGGTACAGGGGAGGTCCTCTTAGGATTAGGATCTACTTTAGCTTCACTTTTCATCTGGGTTTGTTAAATTTCAAACGGCTGGTCAATTACACTTGGGTAGCAACCGAGTTAGGTCAATATCGTTTCGGATCGGACGATCTCTCCACGCCCATGTCTACCAGTTCTATTCTTGTACCTTTGTAAACCCTGCGTCCCCGATACTGTTCGCTCCTCCAAAAGTAGGATAACTTTGAGAATGGATGTTGTAAAACAAATTCGTAATATCTAACGGGCAGCCGTACGCTGTTCATCAAAGTAGAATCCTCAGTGTCTTAAGTTTCGATTTGACGATCCGGATAGTTAGGTAAGAAAGTCCTTTGGTTTACTTCCATTTTTGGCATCCGATTCTTGGCGTTTTTCAAGTGGACCACGAGAGAAGAGTGTGGATCCCGGACATGGCGAGCATCGGTCCTCTATACCGGATTCGACATCGATCGCCCAGCAGAAGGACACGCACACTTGCCGCACCGCTGATGAAAAAATAATTCTCCACGGTTTCGCGGCTTGTTCAATTACGGTCGCGACCGTATCGGGCAGTTTGCACGCTGGCTTCCTGGCCGGACAGCCGGTCGCAGCTGCTACCGACGACAACGACGACGACGACGACGACGTTGTCGGCCGTAGCTGTTGCTGTTACCGCTTGCCGCTACCGGTCGCGACGACAGAGACGACGGCTAGTAGTAGTAGTGGGCTGGTGTCGGGTGTCGGTGTCGGTGTCGCTGGGTGGTGGTAACACTGCTGGCGGCGTTGCTGCTACTGCTAGGCGGCACGATATCGGACATAACGTGCATGTGGGAGTATGTCATTACCGTGACGCCTAGGCAGCGCGACGTGGCGCATTGTGTTCGAGGCCGGCGGAGAGGAAAGAAGGAGGATGAGGAGGACTCACCGCGGCGTGGAGGTGCAAGAGGAGGGCGTCGACGTCGAGGGGACACGTACGGTGCGCGTGCGCGCGAGCGTGTGTGCGTGCGCCTCATTAACCAGACGTTTGCGTTCGGTTGCCGCGGCAGGAGGAAGAGGAGCACACACCAGCCAGGCCGGAGGAACATGCGGCCGCAGGCCAGGCAGGGTCGAGCACGAGGCCAAGCCGGGCCAGGCAAAGCCAGGCCGCGCCATGCCGGGCCAAGCTCCAACCTCTGCCACCCTCTCTCTCTCTCTCTCTCTCTCTCTCGCCTCACCCTCGTGGTTATCTTCCTCGCGCGCTATTTCTATGTCGTTCTTGCGCGCACGCCCTGTATTCTTCTCTCTCTCGTGCCGCCTGTGCTGTCTCCCGACCCGTTCTCTCTTCGCTTGCCTGCCTGCCAGTCGGTTCTCTTTCCCGCCCCCCGACCCGCTCAGTCGCCCTGCCTCTCTCACCCGGCTTGGCTCTGTATATCGCCGGCACGGGGAATCAACACACCAGTCGGCCGATTGCGGGCTGCTAAACGCTCGAAGCCACGATCCCGCAAGCGGCGACATTTATACCGGGTGACCCCGAGGGCCGCGTTCGTTGCACCGTGTGCAGCCTCCGCTGGCCGAATCGATCGTTCGGAAATTGTTCCAGCCGATCAGCCCACCCGGAGTTTCGACGAGCTCTTTTCACGATGCTCGTTCATTTCCCCCCAACCACCCGGTCGCGCTCTCCTTTCCACTCCTTTTTCTTTTCTCCGATCCTTCGGAGAATTTAACGGTGACGTCCGAGTCAAAAGTCGTCGAGATTTCGGGGACGATAATCCCCCCCCCCCCGCCCTGTCCCTCCCCGTCTGTCGATGGGAAACGATCCGGTGTGACTGGGCGGCGAACCGTGTCTGCTGGCACGCTTTACGCACACCGTCGCGATGCTTTATGACTTTCGGTTAACCCGTGGGATTTTTTTTCGAACCGCTCGCATCAGCAACGAGACGGACCTTCGCGTCGGACATTTACGAGCGTGGCTGCCTTATTACGAGCGATCTTAATTGACTGTGCCGACAAAAAACCCGTCACCTCATCACCGGATACACCTATATCGGCATCGATTCAGCCGAGCCGGGGTTCTAAAGTACCGTGCCTTAGCGTTCATCCCGTTCGAAGTCATAATGAAAGCCGGGAAAGAAAGGACGAGAGCCGAAGAACGAGGATAGAAAGGGAGGGAAGGAAAAGGGACGAAAAAATAAAGCTCACGAGTCCATTCCACGGTGGCCGCGCAATGGATTCACGGATCGCTGCATTACGCGCCCACGTTAAAGAGCGCGGTACGAGCAATTCCAAGGCGGGTCCCACTCTAACCTTTTACATCCGCTCCGGTCCGGTGCGCGCGGTCTCCGTCGTGTTTCGCACACACAGAGTCGGCGCCGCACAACCCACACACACACGCGGTCGTCGTGTTACGTTACGAGCGCGACCGTTCTCGTTTGGTGATCGTTGTCGCGCTCGTCGGACTCCCACAGCCACCTCAAGTTTTACGATCCGCCGCTGCCGCGCTGGAAGTTTGAAATTTCGCACGTTGGGGCGAGAAGGGGCGGCGTGGCTACCGTAGAAGCTGTCGCGTCGCGCGGAATTGGATACAACGCTGGGTGGAGAAGGATAGCTAACTAGCGTGCAAGGGAGGAGGAGCAGCAGCAAGAGGGGAAGCAACTGACGTCAGCGAGTACGGAAAAGTTAGAAAGATAAGAGAGCGGAGGCGCGAAGCGGGCACCCAGCAGTTGCGGCGGCAACAACAACGCGGAATGCGTCTCTCGACCAATACCGCCCCTCGTATCATCTATCTCGTGATTGCGCACGGGTTAATTCATTTTATAAGGACATATAGCCTCTTTAAAATAAGTGTAGGCATAGAAATTCTGTGTTTTATCCGGATTATTTGGAAACTTTTTTAAGAGAAAGGAAGGACTTTTACTAAATTGCTCGATACCATCGAGTAGTTCTCTATACAAAATCGTTCAGGATGGTTCAGGGTGCTATAATTTTCAAAATCTCAGTAAAGAGACAGGTGACAAAAGTCTTAATATAAGTGAAAAAAGACCCTTAGTCCACCCAGTTTACATTTTCATCCCCTTCCGTTTAGCAAAAGCAAACGACAGAACAGCGTTGATCTATAGAAGGATTTTTGACGAAGGGTTAACATCTTCAGGCAACGGTCAAGAATATTAGAATTGCAAATTCAGTTGCAATAATGAAATCAATAGTATTAAAATAATAAAGTCTGCGCTTGTTTTAAGCAGACTGTACACCAAAGGGCTGAGGCGTGCGTCGGGGACAAAGAAAGAGGTGAAACGTGTAGCGAGGGGGATGAATCCAATTACACGCAAACCTCGCACCTATGACCCATTACCTCACGCTGTCTCCCTTCCCTTTGTCTTTCTCTCGCTTTTGTATTCGCGTGGCTCTTTTTTTTTGTTGCCTCATTCCGCGTGCAGGCCGGCAGGGTCGGTGGGTCCATACGGCTTCTTTCTCCGGCTTTCTCGTGTGTTTTTTTTTTCCCTCCCTCCCCCCTTTTCCCTGCTCCTTTTCTCCATCGCTTCCGGCCGTCTCGGTTCGCTTGTATTCTAACTCGCTTACACGCACGCAGATTTGCGGTACGCCCCGATTATCCGCCACTCTCCTCCCTCGTGTCCCTCTCTTCAGTACCACCCGACACAATTCCTCGCACACTTGTCCCTTTTTCTCCTCCGTCTGGGCGCGTTCGTACACCTCCCTTCCTCGGTATCACGCTCTTTCTCTTTCCGTCCCCGTTATTTCTCTCGCTCAACAGGGTCGGCCGAGAGCGCGCGCTTAACCGTCGCTCGTATTTCAGCGTCTCTTGGCCGGCCTCACACCACGTCGGCGGGGCAACAAATTCCACGACCCTCCAATTACCCCAGGGCCGAGTTTCGTCCGCTCGTTTTTAGATTTAAATGTCCGTGTGCCGGCTTCTTTCGCGGCGCCACCGCGCGTTACCGCTCCCTCTCTCTCTCTTTCTCTTGGTCCCATCGTCGTCGGACGCCTGTTGAAAATCGATGATCCCCCCTCCCCCGTGCCCGTCGCCACGCCGGAGCGGGTCGTGAGGCTCGTTTTTTTCGCCCGTCCCGATCGGCGAGAAACGAAACGGCCGCGAGAGTGGCTTCGATTACCCGGGGCCGAGTTTTACGCGGCGAGTCTCTACTCGCGAACCGTCCTTCTCACTCCCGTTCGTTCTCCTTTCCGCTCGGTTGATCTTTCTTTCTCCTTTTTTCTCGTGTTTCGCTTTTTTCGAGAGCGCGAGTAAAAACGCTGTTACCTCGAAGTCAGCGGCGGAAAGTTTTACGGCCCCGCTGCCGGAACTTTCCGAATTTTCCGCAGTGAGCATTTCAACGGACGAACGTCCGGACTCTGCGTTTAGCGTTTCGTCGGCTAGACGGGCTCTTTTTTTTTTGTTTTCTTTTGTTTCCTTTCAAAGTACACGCTCGTCGGCTTTCTTCTTTTTACCGAGAAGTATTGCTCGTGTGTGTTTCGACAGATTCGAACATAATTCCGGGGCAATTTTTCCTTTTTCATATTTGGATTCCTCGTACATTTTTTGGATGTTTGTAAAAATAATTTGGGTCCAATGTGTTATTTTGAAAAACACGGGATATGAATTTCTGCGATTATTCTCAAGTGTCGATGTAGAATTGGAAGGATAAAATGTATTCTTTAGTCGGATGATGGATGAAAAATTAAAAAGAAAATGATTGCAGTTCTTTTCAAAGTCGCGAGACTTAATGGTCACGCGCGGTGCGTTTATCTCGAAACCGATCGGAGCGGAAAGAAGCGAAACTGAGAATGAAGCGCCGACTCACGCCACGCTATCTACCGGGACAATCGATATCGTTGTCGAGGGAGATAATTCCAGGCAAAAGGTAGCCGCGTATACTGGCGATAACTATCCCTGCTGTCATTCATATTGCCGACGATATTATCGGCTATACCTCAGATCTTTGTAGCTCGACGTCCGATAACGCCTCCCGTTAACCAGCGGCTCCGAGTACACGTACACAGGATATCGTAAATCGAAGAGGGACAACTAAATTTGATGGACGATCGATTGGTCGGAATCATTTTTAGACCAGACGACGTCGCACGTTAAGTCTAATGCATTAAAATCTTACCAGGGAAGTTCGATAATTCAGTATTAAAATGTTACAATTTTAGAATTTTGGAACCTTAGATTTGTAGAATTTTAAAATATTAGAATTTTTGAATTTTAGAATCTCTGAATCTTAGAATTTTAACATCTTAGAAATTTATAATCCTAAAATTGTAATAGTCCAAGACCACCCTGCTCCGTTCCTAATTACACCACTGCGATACCAGGGTTGAAATCACCCCCTTAAAGAAATTCTAAGATTTCCACCTATAATCTTAAACCTGAAGACTCATCGTTTCCACGGTAAACGAAGTGAAAGGCGAAGTCGTGTTCCGGTGAATTAGAAAGAATCGAAGTCCGACTCTTCACAGTTAAGAAACGAAATTCATAAGATTCCTCGTGCTACTTGCCAAAGCGACTCGAAGCGTCTAGACACGCTCAATCTTACTTTAATCTTAATCTCTGCGATCGTCCTGCGATCTCGTGATCCTCGATCCAGCGACGAAAGCGAGCCAGGAGGACCAAAAAATAAAGAAGACGAGGGGGTCGATCAGGGGAATTCGTCGCACGTAGCGTTCCTTAATGAAGAGCAACGCGCTGATCGATACGCGCGGTTTAATCCTAATTCGCAACGGTCACGTGAACCTCTGGCAAACAAACCGTGCATTGGCAATCTGACTGCATACAACGGACCTCCGGTTTGACCACAATCAATGGAAATTCCGATCCTTCCTTTTTCGACTTCCACGACAACCCTTCCGCTTCTTTCCGACGCCGATAATGGATTTTCATCGCGATTCCACGGACCGTTTCACGCGATCATACTTGGCCTTTCCATTCGCGTGGCTCACTGCATGGGATTCCTAGGGTTGAGCAAACCAAGAACGAAAGAAAAGGTGTTTTCTTGCTCGTGACTACGACTCGCGTAAAGTTCCGAACGATTCGATGCTTAATTATTGAAATTCCGGGGAGATATCGTTGCTATCACGCAATTTAGCTGTTTAATTTATTATTACAGAGAAAGAATTATGTCCATGTACCGAATTCTAAAATAATCTTTATAAATAATTTTAGATTTGCGGTATTCCGGATGAATTCGGTAGAGCTTATTAAAGTACCGGCGAGACGATTAGTGTCACGTACGAGTAATTAATTGCAAAGCATTTTTATCTTTCGTCGTAAGTGCTTCCAAGTGCAGCGGAATTGCATCTTGCATCGGAGAAAGGTGAAACGCGTTTAAAGTCGTTGAACGATGTTCCACGGATATCCTGGGAAGAATAAATCGAGTTAGGACAATAAAACGCGAGGTGTCCTACCAGCTCACGGATCCCATTACTCTATCCGAGCCGTTGAAGCGTTGACGGAACAAGGGCGCCGTTTTCCGAGCTTGATTTTGATTTCCTCTCGTAAACAGAGAGCGCAGTTTCAAGGAATTAGAGTAACTTCCCGACGGTCGGGGGCCGCAAAATACCCGGCACCGACTTTTCGCTCGTAGAGCGCGCGGAAATGAAGAGTGGCGTACCGAGGAGACGATATCCGACCGTGACGAAAGTGTCCAAACGTCTTGGACGAGAACGCGTTCAGACGCCGTGGAGAATGTCGTTTCGGATCTTGCATTCGTAATGTTCGAGAAACTGGTGAAACTAGATTCGTACAAGATATTTTGAAAAAAAAAAGAAAGAAAGAAGTTATAAACCAGACGCAACGTTATCCGTGAAGTATTCTTCATTTTAAGTAACTAGTTGCTTTCGCAATGCAGTATGGTTATTTGTAGTTATATCACATCAGGAAGGCTTGAAAACACTTTCCGAAACAATCAGATCCAACTCGACCCCAATGTTGAGTGCCCAAATTTTCAGATCTACATCCATCAATTATTTGAATAAAATCAAGAAATCCGTTACAAAATGATTGCTTTCGATTATATTTTTTTACAATTCAACGCCGAGTCCAAGAACAGTTACCGCGAAATGCGTTCATCGTTACACTAAACCCGATCCTCGAATCTCCGTTCCATTTTACGCGTTCTCGCTCCGAGATCCACGGTTGTAGATATAAAAGAGAGAGAAAAAAGAAGAAGGAAAGAGAGAAAAAGGAGGAAGACGAGCTAGTAGCTGGCGGAGATTAATTCGTCCCACGGTAAGGGGACGGCGTTCCGCAAGATTCGTCGCGTTGACCGCAAATTTCTCCGGCTGCCGCGGCCAAAAGCGGGTTCGAAGCGTTCCGCGAGAGGAGTACTCGCCGGCCGGTTCGCGGATCGAGCGGATAACAGAAGAAAGCGATGGAAACGTTGGGATGATAAAAGAGCGTAGCGGAGGTGTGGCTAATTAGCCGTGGATACCGGATACTCAACCGCGGACGTAGTTTCACTCCGGCTCTCTCGTTTCCATCTCTTTCTTAACCACCATCTTCGTCCTTCCGTCTTTCTCTATGGGTATTCACTCAGTCGTAGCGATCGTCGTCCTCGGGGAATAAGGAAAACGCGTTCCGGATAGTCGAGCCTGCTTCTGCATCGATTGTCGACAGGGGTCCCAGAAGTTCTCGCGGATAAATCGACGAAAAGCCTACCGATGCGGGATTAACAATCGTTCCCACCCGACGGACCACGATTTTCGTTGAACGAAATTTTGAAATTGGATAAATTCGCTCGGCAAAATAATCCGAGGAGATCGTAAGTTAAGCTTCGTTTCTATCGCAGGCGCGTGATATTACGTATCCGCGATACCGAAACGCGTCGAATTTCGCGACAAGACAGGTAGAACTGCGTTTTCACGCGAACGGAATACGCGGCACTCCGTTTGCCAGCATTTGGAGCGTGCACCACTCCGTTTGCACGTCGTTGGAATACGTGAAATTCCATATGCGCGTATACGTAACAATTCTACAGTAGTTAGAACACATGCTGCTACGTTTCGAACATTTCGCACGTCTAGTACTACGCTTTGACGTAGAATTTCGCACGTACCAGCCACTTCGTTTTTGCAAGCGTTAATTACTAAATTTGCGACTGAAATACTTTTTCCGTTGGAAACGAGTCATCGAACTTTTTATCATTCATAAGCAATCGGTTGAATCGCACGAAAGAACGCAAGGAACAAAGGGTTCCCGAAAGGAGTTCGAGAAGAATCTTGATTACTGGCCAGAGACAGAAGAATTGTGAGCGCTAAGAAGAGGTCTGTCGTTGACGGGGAACATCCTTGTATCGTATAAAAATGTATGACAGCGAGGAAATGCTATTTTCCAGCTAGGAGAATTCCACGCACGGACGGAACGAATTCCTGATGCTCGACGGAGTTCTGGTATCGATTACCGGCTAGAGAGGCGCATACCTCCGTCGAATCGAAAAATTCGCGTATGCAGAACCGGTCTTAAGAACAGTCTCTTAGGATTGGAAATGTGTAAGAAATTTTAAGCCGACCCCCTCTAAAACGATACCCCCTCTCCGTCTGACTATTTCATATTTATGGAACTTCGGAAAAATTGCATAGAAATCTCTGATTTGCAATTACTAGCTTCGATAATTGAAACAAATTATAAAATTTTGAAGATTCATGTCACATTATTATTTATACGCTTTCCATGGTTTTTATAAACTAATCGTGAGTACAAGCTGAGAAAATGATCGGAAGTGTAATTAACACTTGCGAAAGTGAAACACCTGGATTAATATGGGTCGTTGATATTTCACCTGCAAGTATTTTCGACTTTCACTGATATGCCAGAAACTTCTACGTTTTAAGTACTTGATCGCGATGCAATGATTACAGCGATCGATTTCGAGAGAAATGGGAAGTTATGTTAATAAGGAAAGACCATCTTGACGACCCTCGGATAGATCGAAACAATTCAAGTTCATCGCTTTCGTTCCAGTAAACCGTTTCACAAGCCGAGCACGCGATCCTCTCGAGCATTCGGAACCGCGTTGAATTTTTCCAATAATTTCTCATGTTCGAACGGCCGGCCAACCACGGTTTCGTTCTCCACCCATTCGCCCCCGTCCATCCACCCCGATGCGACTCCGCTCGGTTTCACCGGACGCGCGACGCGACGATCTAAACGCGTCGCTTTAAATCGTGCCGCGGCGTGAGCCGTGGCGAACAAGTGTCAACCGCACCCAGGAACGTAATCCAACCCCCCTCTGGTCCCGCTCCGTAAACTCGTACTCCCTCTCTCTCTTTCGTCCCTCAGCGACGGTCGACGGGATAGCCGTGAACGTGACGGGACACGGATCGGGCGCGACAGGGAGAAACGGCGACCATACGGTCTGCGATCCCGTCCGTGGAAAGGAGTTTGGGAAGTTATTTGTTGGCGAAGGGGGTCGTAGGAAAGGGGTCGATACGTATCGCGATTTGCCGGGCGGCCGGGTTATCGGGGCAGGAACGAGGGCTGAACGAAAGGGGGAAAAGCGGGTACTGCTGGCCTGTGTCGCGGCTTGCGTGTAGGCACCTCGCCGCCTACGCCCACGTTACCGGACGCCTGGCAGATAGGGATCATCGAGGCGTGTTCTATCGGCCTCATCTCGGGCACCCTCTAACAACCTCGCGCTCTCGACTCGGGCTCGATTCGGTCTCTCGGTGTACGGGCCGTGAACGACCAACGGAAGGCAGGACGAAGAACGCGTCGAAGAAGGGACGGAGACAAGAGAACGAGGACGGAAGACCCGTTGGCGCCATTGAAGACCGAGATACGAGCGGAGGAGAACGCTTCTATGGTACACACCGGGTACCCCCGGTCCGCACACAGACGCAAGAGACCGAGTGGTCTGAGGAGGACGGGGAACACGAACAGGGGTCTATTTTTGTCGGGTGGCGGCGGCGGTGGCGGGACAAAAAGCCTGCGGCTTCTACCCTTCTCCTCTCTGTCTCTCTCTTCCTATCCGTCGAGCGGTTCCACGTTTTTCTCTTGGTCCTCTCTCGCTTCCCTCCTCCTGCCCGCCGCTCTTTTCACTCCGAGCGCCTCTTTTTTTGCTGCCACGTCGCTTCTGCCGCGCTACGTTCCCGTCGTTTTCACTCGTCCTCTCCCGCTCCATCGGGCGAACCGTTCCGTCGCGCTCCCTTTCCTCGTTGCTCTCCGCTAAACTAGCTGTCGGCGTCTTTCTCTCTCGCGCCTGTTCCGGCGTCGGCGAAGCAATCGAGCAGCGGAGCGACGAGGACGGAGAAGAAGAAAGAGGAAAAAGGAGGAAGCAGCGGCGGTGGAACGGAGACAGACGGTGGAGTGAGCGTAGTCGTCGAGGAACCTCGGAGTCGAGCACGGTCGGAGTCGAGTCGAGCCGGGTCGTGCAGAGTCGCGTCGAGTCGAGCGGGGTCGGGTAAAGTCGGGTCGAGCGAGCTCGGCCGAAGAAGGACGGTGAGGCAGCCGGCGCAGCGGTGGGTTCGCCAAGGGCAAAGAGGCGGAAAGAGGAAGAGGAAAGGGAAGCCGCGCGCGTGAAAGACAGAGAGCGAGTGAGAGGAAACGAGACGGGGAAAAGAACCGACCGCGGGATGGGCGCAACGCGGGGTTGGGGGAAAAAGGCTGAGGCCGAGGCTCCCTTGGCGGCCCGCTACTAATTGCCGCCGGCCGCTCCTGGCTACGGGCCGCTGAGCATCGCGCCACGCACAACAGCCAGCACGGTTATGTTCCATGGGTTATAAGCGTGACTGTATGGCCGAGGTCCGAGCTCGGACACTCGACTTACCGTGCCGCTCTTTCGGCACCAGTATCACCGTCCCCTACCGGTTTTTCGAATTTTCATACTTTTCCGGCAATCTCGAATCACGTTGACATCTTGCTACCCAGACAGAGAAATTCCCCCTCTTTTTTTTAAACCATCAACTCTGTAAACAGAATCTTTCAGAGTGACAGGTTTGCAACCTTTCCTATACCTTCTTTAATTTTATGCACAGTGGACTCTTGTCAAATAAGACGTACTGTATTTTTAGAAATTGCAAATTTTAAAATTCCTCAAGCTCTCCTTGGAATCTCCCATGGCAAATAGTAAGAGACTCCTTTCTCTATATTTACTCTTAACCAAAGGAAGCCTAGCGAAACAGATTTGCGGTTATCCCGCTGTTCTTTCGGCGTGTATCTGCGTGGGCCAGAAAATCGAGCTGAGAAACAGCACGTCAGCGAGGAAAATAAAAAGGAAAAGGACGGGTACGAAGCATCGGCGGACGTGAAAGAGGCGAAGGACAAAAAGCCGAGGATCTTGTTGATGAGAGGCGGCGCAGATAAGCGTCAGCCGGCGAAATAATGTTCGCCGAGGCGGCGAAAGCGAACGGAAAGCACGTCGCGGCGGCGCTGGCTTGCGCAAATAAATAAGAGATATGTATAGGTAGGCCGCTGGATATATAAATCGATCGTTACGCCGGTTAAATTCAAAACGGCCGTCGGCTACGTAAATAGGCGTCCCGACGCGTACACGCGTCCACGTTTTCTGAACGGTTAACCGCGGTGAACCGAGGGCCAGCCGTTCGAGGATCGATCACGCGAGCCGAAAGTCGAGGCGAAACCCGAAGTTTCCGGCACGATAATCGGGAAAACTTGGCCCCGCTAATTAGCTGAGCCGACGACTACGAGTTATCAGCGGCTGAGAACGGCGATAAGCGACCGCGTCGAGTAGCACGATCGCGAATGGTCGCGTTTAATTTTGCGACGCAAGGGTATCGGGTTTAAGGTCGCGACATATGCCACGGATTCTGCACGGTCTCCGGGTCTTGCCACTCGCTTCCTCTTTCGCAATGTCTACAAGATATCTCCTTATTTTTCTTTGATTTATCAACTCGAAACTGTATTGCGATACTCCTCGGATGCTGAAGGCACCGCGGTTGACGTACAAGCTTAACAATTTAAAATTCGAATCTTTTGTTAACCCTTTCACTGTTGAGTACTCTAGGCTTAAACGTTCTGTGTGTACGAAATTGGGAACTTTCCTTCATTTCTCAATTTATTCTTTCTGTTTTCTTTTTTCATTGTTTTATCGCATCATTATAATCTGATGACGTATGGTGTGTAATTAGTAATTGATAATTTTTATTTGATTATGATTAAGATATACAAGGAACAAAATATTTCTTTCATGTTTTACTCTTCACTGTAAATATGTTTCATTTAAGAAACTCATTGAGTTTAGTTAAAATTAAGAAAAATATGCAGTTTCTAAAATTTCTGGAAATGCTTGAGATTCTTCATGGAATCACAAAGGGTCCTCAAAAATTCAAGCAGACGACCCTCGTTTTTTTCCCCCCGGTGCGGTGAAGAAAAAAATCGAAAGGACGACACCGAAACGAGCGGTACGGGAAAAAAATATCGACGCTTCCCCCCTGGTCGTAATGGTTTCCAACCCCTTGCCCTAATATATCCCGTATTCCGGATCTCGCCCGAACGAGCGCACCCCTTTCGGCCTTCTCTCCTCTCAACGCGGGCCAACGGCGCACGATTATTATCACCGACCCTGCTCCGATAATGAAAGTACACGCACGTGCTGGTATTAGTGTCGAGAGCAGCAGGGTTCGCCGCCTGGCTGCATTCAGGTCCGGGCTCTGCTCCAGAGGGTTGGGGGGACACAATGAGGGTGGCTTCGGAGTTCGTACGCTGTTTCGGCTACGCTGAGTCATGCACTAAAGAGAAACGCGTGAGGTCTTTGCGTGGCCCGTGGCCGAAAAGCTGAGATCACCTTCTTTTACGAAGGAAATTTTTATTTTTACCCCGTCGATTGTAATAAACGATTTGAACGACGTAAACCAATTGGATTCGAAGAGATCCTCGGACGATCAATATTATAGTTGTACGGTTGGAAAAATGAAAGGATATTTCTAAAATTTCTCACAGTCTTCTAAATAACTGAAGCACATTTTCCCAGAAATCGTTCGTCTTTCACAAAAATTCACAAGCTCCACGACAGTTCTTTCCTTTTTTTCTTTTACTCCGAGCCGAAACTCTACCCCCGTGGATCGCGGTGGTTCATAGGGTCGGAATAAAAGAAGCGAATTCAATGGGCAATTTCGCGGTGGCCAAGACTGTTAGCAGAGAATTCAGGGTGCTCGCCAAAAATCCGAGTGCACACTAGTCACCGGTGGTTCTCCAGTAGTGCCGCATTATTTCCTGCTCTTCTGGAGGAGGTCAACTGTTTTATTGACTGAGGGTCGGAGGTGCGCGGCCTCGGAACCACGGTTACGGTTAACCGAGCCAAACCTCTGAAATCGTAGCGGGGAATTATCGGTTCAGTTACCCGCTCTGCTCCGTTTCCTCTTTTTACAAGGACGTGGTTTCCCACCATCTGTGAAACGCTTCGAAAACTTCACATTTTCTTTCGTTTTATTTCAACGGTTACAAAAATGGTTACATTTCGAGTATGATGGAAGAATTTTTTTCCTCTCTTGCCCCGAGAAAAAAGGAAGGCGTTTCTCGATCGGGAAAGCAGACGACGTCCCGGCGATTAGCCAGCTCTCCGGATGAAAAAGGAGAAGCGAGAATCGTCGGTCGATCGTCACGGTAACAGATGCCGCGATTGCGGTGTTGAATCGACCGCTTTCTATTGAAGCCAAAGCTGGCCGCAATCTTTTCCGAGCTGGGCACAATGGAAAAGGCCGTGGCAACGAACAGCGTGCAACTTGTGCGAGAATGGTTTCGAAAATCACCCCCTTCCACGAAAATCAACCCTGTTAATGGAACACTTTCAGCGCGCGCTTTCGCTTCGAGCGTTGCGATTACAGCTGGAATCAAAATTCGAATACATTTTCGATATTTCTGCAAAATTCTAAGCATCAGTTCTATAATAATATTGAAAAACAGTGTCAGCACTGTTTGAATACTGACGTATTCGGAAATCAACCGCACTCCATCTTTCATATTTCCATGTATTTTCTTTTTAACTCGAAAATTTTCCAGTCTAGTTGAACCTGTCAGAAGCATTTTCGAACTTTTCTAGAGTTTCCGGCCCGATTTAATATTTTCTCCTACCATGCTCGACTTTCCTTTCGTTCTAGTTGATTTCATTTTTTTGTTCAGATATTAAAATATCTTGTCAACAAAATAAATTCAACATACGTTTAATATTTTTAAATTCTACTTCGATTCTCTGCAAATATTTCGAATTCTTCATTAATGAACTCAACAATTCTTCAACTCGAGGCCACGAATCAAATGGAACTTTTCGAAAAGTCGAACCGAGAGACTCTTGGAGTCAACTCGGTTCGATTCCCATCAAGCCCCCGGAGCTTGCAGCATGCGAAGCGAAACCGAAGGGAAAAACGAAAAAGTCGTCGAAAAACCGCATCGTCGGATCCCTTTCGCAATAACCGCAGTCCCCCCCAGCGATTTCACCAAATTTCCAGGGAAAAAACGGTCAGAACGGTGGACTCTTGGGTGGAGAACGGCAGCAGCAACAGCGGGTCTCGTCTCGTTTTTTCGGCGGGCAACCGAGCGTGCCTTTTCGACGGCGCGCCGTCGTCGGTGAAACGCGTGCGTGCACGTACGGCGATCATCACGTATACGCACGCCCACACGCAGAGATATACAGAGAGCCGCATGCTCACGGGCCCGTACTTGTACGGGACCTTTAGCGGCTCGTGAGCCACAGTCGGGACGATCAATGACAACCCGTCCCCCTCCTCAGTCCCCCCCTGGTGCCGCTCGTGTTCACGGAAGGCACGATAAACGCTCTCTCGCTCCGGATCACGGGTCTCCGAGAGAACGTTCGTCCCCCTCCTCTACTTCCCGAACCCGTCCCCCCATCCTCCTCCGCGCTCCCCGTATGATGCCGTTCTGCCGCCAGCCGTTCCGATCCCCCATCCCACTTTCCTCTCTAACCCCGAACCCGTCCCCGACCCGTTCCGTTCCGTTCCACTGGCAGAACGTGCTGCGCTCCGCCAGCGTCGTTCCTCGCTCTCAATCAAGATAGACGCGCGCGAGAGGCTTAGCACCGGCAGAGCAGGCGAGAGCGTCGGCAGAATTTCTCCGTGACTCGAGGGAGCGCGAGATAGAGCGACGGCCGAGGGCGACGGGGGGACGGTGAACGGGCCGAAGCCACAGGCGGCGGAACCCGGGAGAGGGAGAGACTTACTGCTTCGAGTCGCTGCCGGCGCCGCCGTCGGCTTCAGAGGGGGACACCCGGCTGGCTCTAGCAAGGCAAGCGAGCGATGGGCACTCGAGACGCGAGTTCTCGAACAATTTCGAGCGTTCGCGCGCTCCACGGGCGCTTCTCCGATATCTCCGCGGGGAAATTGGAGACCCGACGCGAACCCAGGATTAATTGGTCTCGGTTTCTTGATATTAGGTACCGTTCGAGGTGCTTCTTCTTCTCCCTTTTTTTTAAAAATGAATTTTGCAATAGCCTGAGAGACTTTTTATGGTTATTGAATTGTGTAAGTAATATTGCTAGGTCTAAAGTTTTGATACTTTTGCCAGGCGATGGGGTTGTATATTCGATAAATGTACGCCAATTTCTCAACTTCAAACAACTTACCGAGCTCTATCGGTTATCAATTTGATAAATGAAGTTAGCCCCAAAATCGATACCGTTCGCCACATTTGACCGTTACAGTCCAGTACACTCTTCGCTGTATAGGGTGCAAGCAAATTATTTGAAGTCAAATTTTCTTCTCTCAGAAATTTCTTCATCATTTTACATCTCCTTACAAATGACCTGTCAGTCAGTTCTCGGTTCATAATCAAGACTGAAATGTCATTAGAGAAGCAAAGTGGAGAACAAGGTGTCCAAAGCATGGTGAATTCCACCATCGCCCTAATATTAATCTAACAAAGGGCTAAAAATCGTTCGAAACGATTCACTTGTACGACTCTGGGGTGTCTTACAGCCATCGCTAAGGGTGGCCGGTATAGAGACGCGGCAAAGCGCGGCCAAGAGAAGGAACGACGTCGCCGATGGAAAGAGAGAACAGGCCGTCCGGAGAAGGCTGTGCAGACAGAGAGGGCGTCGAGCGGCAAGCATAGGGCGAGAGAAAGATGGAAAGAGGCGGCGAACGGATACCGGCGCAGCCTGTCTGTGCCTCTGCTTCGGAAAGTGACTAATGACTAGCCGGCTAGACCTACTCTTCTGCCACCCAGCGAGAGAGAGAACGAGGAGAGCGCGCGCCCAGGCCAGGAAGGGAACAGATACCGGAGAGGTGAGCCGCTGTTATCTCGCGGCCCTCGACGACGGTCAACCATGAAAAATGACTATCGCGACGAAGAGATATTTTACGGGTTCCGTCCGGCCGACGTACGGTGGTCCTGATTCAAGAATCCACTGACATTTTGATGCAACCTTTGAACCGTCATGATATCGAAATGAAATTTGCATCGAAAAGAACATTTCGAAAAATATTTCCGCGGTTGCTATACAAATGAAGTATTCGCGGAATAGTTTTTGCGGAAATATCGCCAGTTTGCGAGGTGGCGTCGTAACGAGAGTGGATATCGCGTACAAAGAGAAAGAGAGAGATGGAAAATGGCAAACGGCGCGAATCGAACGAGAAGACGCCTCTTCTGATCGATCTTTCCCCGAGCAGCACGCGGAACTGAATCCGGATCGGATGAACGAGGGAACCGGGCAACTTTATGCGCTTGCTCCTCTTCCTTCCGTGGGAAGCAGTGCCAATCTATCTCTCTCCGTCTCCCCGCTTTCTGGCTCCGTCGTCGCTCGTTTTCCTCGTTACTTCCGCGCCTGGAATCCCACGCTTACGCCGCCGCGGACGTCAGAGGCGTAAATCCGAGAGAGCTTCCTGGGCTGCGAAGCGTCGCGGCGTCGTTAATGATAGCTCCGAGCCGCTCTGCCTTTCTGCCGCCGCCGCCGCCGCCGCCACCTTCTCTCTGCCCCGTACGCCTGAGAACGCTTCGTGCTCGAGCTTCTACAGACTACCGAGACGAGGATGGCTTCTTCTTCTTCGACCCGCTCGCACGCTGGAAAACCGTCTCGGATCCGCTTGTGTCCGTCTATTTCGGAAACGAGGCTGAGGATAGTGCGCTGGAATTTTTATTCTACCAAATTCCCTTCTTTTTTTTTAAATACCAACTCTGTTTCCATCAGAAAAGGATATTTATTCCGAGGGACTAGAATGAGATGAAATGGCAAAAATGTCTAGTCGGAGAACGAGCACATGGAAGTACCGAAAGAACGTTTCTTGAAACGACAAACGAAAGGAACAAACGGTGTGCGGTGATCCGAAGAAATGCTGGAATCGATTCCAATCAGAGGTTCTCCTTTTCCCTCCCTCTGTCTCTCTCGTCTCACTGACAGAAGATCGATCCGTTCGAAGCGCGTAGATCACCATACAAGCTCCCTCGGTTTACCAGACAACTTATTATCGGTTATTTATCACGACCGGCCCGTGACTGAAATTTTTCCTGCCGGCTATCGAGAGTTCGAGATCCTACGTTCCACTTGCGACGCCAGCCACCATGACACAGCCAGTGTGAGAAATGGAGGAGGCATTATACACACTGGGACCGAAGGCCGGCTGTTACGTCGGACCCGTAGCCAGAGAAACTGCTCCGAGCTGGGATAAAGCTGCGGGATCTGGGTCGAAAGGCAGGAAAGAGAGAGAGAGAGAGGCGATAAAAAAGTCCGACGAGATGGGAAAATTGATCGGTGAATTTTTATTTCTGACCGCCATTGGGGGAAGCTTTATCACGGATCGATTGAGAAAAAGTTTAGAATCATCGGAGATTTAACATTCTTGTTATTCATAAAAGGAAAATTAGAAATTATAAAAATGTACCAGGTGCTTCGCTTTCTACGATATCAAATTCGCGATCAACCTTTCATACCGTCTCCCGTCACTCCAACTTTCAATCCTCTCGACCCTTTTTCACCGGCTCGTCCCACGGACCTTTCGTCCCGCGGCAAAGTGCGAAGCGTAATCGCGCTGTGATGAAACCTCGGCACGGCTAGAACGAGAAATCGCGGAAGCGACGCGGCGCGTTACGTGGGGCCATGCCACAGGCATCGAGTGAACGGTGGTTCCAGGTAAAGTCCAGCGAGGCCCCGCCAACTGGATCGAAGCTCCGTTGCGCGATGTTTTTCTCGGAACTAGTTATCTACCAGAGGCGCAAGAACCGATGGCTCGTTATTTGTGAAATGAATTAATCGATACAGAAGTTTTGACAAAATTCCCGTTTGTATTTGACCGAATCTCGAACGCATCCGCGTAATTAGCCGTAATTAAGCAGCCGGCTTATCTGAGTACGGCGAACGCCTTTTCCTTTATCACCCTCTCTCTCTCTCTTCGCTATCACGACCGTTCCTCTTCCGCTCGTGCGATCCATTTTCCTGGCAGCCGTGCCCGAGATTTCTCGCGGTTTTTCTGCTACTCGCCCCCTGAGATAAATTCCCGACCCGTAACCCCGCCGTTTCGTGGACCGCCGCGCGAATCCGGCGAGAAATCGTCTGCAACCGACGGGCGGATCTCGGTCGAGCGGAAAACGCGTGCTCTCCAAGTGTACAGCAAGTGGATGCTGTTCTAAGATCGCATTAGAGAATTTTTGCAATTGGCAAATATAGAGAGTTGCTTCCATGCGGTGTTTGAAAGATCTTTTGGAATTGGCAATATAGAAAGAGTTCCTGCCATACGGTATTTGGAATATTTATGGAATTGGCAATATAGGAAGAGTCCTTCCATACAGTGTTTGAAAAATTTTTGTAATTGGCAATATAGGAAGAGTTCCTTCTATACCCAATTTAGATTTTTGGAATTGGCAATATAGGAAGAGTCCTTCCATACAGTGTTTGAAAAATTTTTGTAATTGGCAATATAGGAAGAGTTCCTTCTATACCCAATTTAGATTTTTGGAATTGGCAATATAGAAAGAATTCTTTCCATACAATATTTGGAAAATTATTGGAATTGGCAACATAAAAAAAGCCTCTTCCATTCAGCTTTTGGAAAACTGTCAGTGTTACCGCTCCGCAATTCTATACCCGGATAAAACACAAAGAGATATGGGTAATAATAATCTCGTCAACGGTACCGATTTCACGGGGAAAAACCATATTGTCCATCAGGAAAAACGTGAAACGATAAAACGGCTGCGTGTTAGATACAACCGCAGCTAGCGTCGTTAACTGTAGCCGTATGTAATTGATCAGCGTTTACAGTTGGCATGGCAGAGGATGAAGTGGTGGGTATCGCACATTTGTTTAACGCTCACGTACAGAGAAATTTAAAAACTACGAACGAAACCGAATCGAAGCAGACGGAGTGTGTTTATACGTGGTCAGAGTATATTCGATACGGCGTCGGACAAATGTGCGAACTCAATATGAAGTATTTTTAGCGTGGCTCGCTTCGAAAGCGTTTGGTTAGCGTACGTTCGACTCGTGATTTCGAATTATTCACTTCGTTTCAATCCATCGGCGTTTCTTTACTGTTCGATTCAGCATTGTTCAGGAACATTTCATTCAATTTTCATATCCTCCGTTCGAAAACGTTCAAAATACAGAATTAATTCCGGGGTTAATTTGTTTCAATCGGTTGAATAAAATGAAGTTCCGAATATCTAGGGTGTACGAATAAGCGAACAAATACTCTCGAAGACTTAACTCGATCGACGATTCCCAATTCCCCCGGAACCGATCGTTCATCGGCGCGAAATTGCAGCCTCCGTGAAGCTGAAACCAGCTACGACCGCGAAAAGCACGATAATCCACTCAGACAGAGACTCACCTTGTTGTGCGGCAGCTGTGTGGGCACGTACAACGGAGGATCCAATCCGGGGCTCGTCACTGCATGACGGCCGATAATCCTGTCCGCCGGTTTCGCGTCGTATCCTTCCGGCTGGCCGATGTGGAAACCCTTGCTCTTCACCCAAAATCGAAATTTGCTGTTCTCCGCACTGTTCACCTCCTCCCCCCTCAATGTCCTCAATATACGAGCGTACTTTTTGATCGTGATCGTTTTGGTCTTAGCCAAGTCCCCGTAGGTCTTGATCACCCACGGTTGATACGCATTGAACATCCCGTCGTTCTGAAACTTCTTCGGCAGTCCGGCACTTTCCGGTCCTCCCTTTTGCATCCCGTACGCGGTGGTCCCGTTCACGCCCGGTGTGATGCCCGGGAACGGCATGCCCACGTTCTTCGAGTCCATCGCGCCGTTCGCGTTCCCGTTACCGACGTAGCCCGCGTTCAGATTCCCCGATGCGTTCGAGCTCAATGATCCGCCGGTCATGTTCGAGATGTCCAGGTACGAGACGGACGAGCTTTTGCCCAGGTTGGTCGCGTTCCCGACGAACGTCGCCATCGAGGAGGACATGTAGGGTATCGGGGTGGTCATGCTGAGGCTACCGGCGCACAGGCCGGTCGTAGGGCTGGGGGCCATGTTCAATCCAGGTACGGACGCGTACGTGGACACGTCGGACATGTTCGAGGATGTCCAACTGGTGGATAAAATACCGTTGGACACGCCGTCCGTCGTGGACGCCGACGAGGCGGACGTTTTAGACTGGGCGTTAGACCTGGACACCGAACCCCCGCGACTTTTGGTCGCGGGGCTGGTCTCCGGTGAGGAGGACGTCTTGGTGGTCGATGTGCCACGGGATTTCTTCGCCGGTGGCTCGTCCCGGGCACCGTTCATCGAGTTCAGATTACCATGGGACGGGCTGTTGTTGTTCTCGGACCTTGATCGCTTGCTGGACGAGCCGGTAGCCGCAGACGTGGATTGGCTCGACGGGGTCGGCGAATTGTTCACCGGCACTCTGCGACGGAGTCCCATTGTCGCGCTGGCCATTATTCCTGGCTATATTTAGTGTACGCCCGGTCGCTAGCAGGTTTCCCTGACGATCGATTTCACACTGTCACTAGTTCACCGGCCGCGTCGTCGTCGATCACCGAAACCGTCAACCGCCAGCATTATAGTTCGGACGAGTATATACGCGCGGCACGGCCAGCGGGTAGACGAGGACACGGAATACGTGCTGTACGAACAGAGGACACACACGCACACACACCGTGAAGATTGGCTCGACGTTGACGATCACCGTCGCGTAGGTTGTTGTCCTCGCTTCCGGGATGCCGCAGGAAAATCGACGTACCTCCTATACGACCGTCTCTGTCCTCGGCTCGCGTAGGAGTCTGGAAAAGAAAAAGAACACCGGGAACGTGACAAGTGGAATTAGCTATGCACGATTAAGCGGCGGAAACGTTTAAACGAGGGCGCCGCTAATGGACTAGCGGCCAAGTAGGTGGAAACCCGGCCCCGACCGACGGGGTAGGGAGGACGCGACGGATAATACGCGGCTGAAATTCACCTACGAAATTGGTTTCTGCTGCTCGCGTGGACGCCTCTCGTCGTCGCCTCGCCTTGGGAAATTCTTTTTACCTCCGTGAAATAACGTTCAACGGGACACGCGTTAAAAAATCGAATTTCATAGCGGTTCCCAGGGCAAAAGTGGACGGCTACGAAGATGATACCGCTCGCAGCTGAGTTTTAACTTTTAAACGCAGTTAAAAACTATCCTTCCCTCTTTTTTTCCTCCACCGCGGACTTCTCTGAAGTACCGAGAATATTTAGCTATTTATACATTTCTTCTGCGAGCACAGTTATCTCCTCGTTCTTTCGTTCCTTATGGAACAGCAGATGTCATTGATTCGTCGATGAAAATAATCGTCTTAATAAACTTCGACAGTCTCGATAGCTTTTCAACGCGTCGGAATCCTTATCCCGTTCGAGAAGACTGTTAGGAGACTGCTGTCAGTCAGGATTAAGTCTCGGTGAAGAAAAGCTCTACGATGTTACAGAGTTACTATACTAGGATTGATAATAGAGTTTTCTATCGCTCTGAGGTATTTCGGGCAAGATTCGTCCGTTTATTGCAAAGTGTAAGAAGAGGGTCGTTGCAATGGTGGGTCTAGGATTAGTGCACGGCTACAAATTTCTCAGTCAGCCGACTATTCGGGCCCGTGCATGCGCGCCGCTAATGGATTTTCGTAAGACAGGTGTTAGAACGGCAGCGAGGCGACATAGATGGTATGCAATTAGACACGAGCGGCACTCGGACGGCGCGACGAATTAGGAAACCGGTTATTTAACCAGCCACGAACTTCCTTCGCGTGTCGAGTGCGCCCGCCATGTTGAGGTAGCTGGACACGTGCCGTTTTCAGGAACTGGAAAACCCCACGAAGTTCTTGCCATTTTTATTTTCTGACGGAAATTACTTTAAATTACTTTCTTTTTGAAAAATGAAGAAGCGAACTTTTAACATCCCCTTGCGGCCCTTTCCTCTTCCCTCTGTTAGGTCCTATGATTCCAGCCCTATCTCAAATCGAACTAACCCCCTGTTATGATCGAGACGAGACCCCCTTCGATGAGGGGATGGAATCGCTAAATTTTCAACCCCTATACCACCAGTGGTAGTGTAATTAATGATATGTTTTGCCTTTTGTGCGTTTTCTTAGAAAACGAAATATTCTTCTTTTAAATAAATATAAAAATTTCGAGAGCTACGCTGAAGGGAAGTTTTACGAGACAGATAATTAGAGCAAACATCCTGAATTTTGTTTTCGTAATTCTCGCGCACGATACGACAACCGTAACGAACGGTGATACATAGAGATAGCCTGTGTCAGATAATCGCGAAGTAAAGCCAACGGCGTACACTAATTCAATAAGGCCGATCGAACTATACGCCGCGATAGCCTGGATCGCATAATGAACTCGCCGCGACGTATCCACAGCTCCTTCAGATAACAGAATCCGAGAGAGCTCCAGGGACATGTAGTACCCACTCGCGACTAGCGATTGTGAAAATTCATTTTGCAAGGATATTTTAGAAACGTTACAACTATTTCGAGGCATAAAATTGAAATTATCTTTGATCTTTCTTGGGAGAATTTTAAAAAGAGTTAAAAAGGGAGAGTTAGAGATGGAACCTTGGTGTATGTTTATAGTAGTAGCTCGATAGTTCCTCGATATTTTCGAGTTTTTAAATTTTTATTATAATTTTGACACGCGGATTCCTTCAACGGTTGACTTTTAAGTTACGTTTCTTTTTCAGAAGCTGAAAAACTTGTTCGTCACGGTCGACGAGGTGGAAAGGAAGAGACGAGTCGAGTGGCGATGGGAAAATGCTCGTTTTCGAAGATGGTCGCCGCTAGTTACGAAGGATTAGAATCCAAGGGAACGATAACGAAGCAAGTCCAAGAAGGGAACCGATGGAATGAGGCCGATAGCCTGGCCGCGATATAACCGCGCTCCTTTAGGTGGCAGAAACGAGGTCTTTAGCGCGGCGGCTTAAGACGCCGCACAGCTTACTGTAAATTATCTTCTCCGTCATTATCAAAGATTGCGCGCGCGGCCAAGAATGAAAATTGAGGGAAAATCGTCGCGGGACGAGGCCTATTCTTCTCCGACCTTCGAGTAGCCTCGTCGAAAGACGTTTCGCCTTCCTCTGAAGAAATCAGTTTTATTTTTGCACGAATTTTGCAATACTCATTCTCCATAGATTCTTTAACCTAAAATCTTCTAACTATGGATGAACATTTCAGAACAATGGCGGGAGGATGCGAGGGAAGCAGCCTTGACACGGCTCCCTCCTCCGAGATAATCAGATACGTCTAATCAACTGGCTGTCTCGGAAAAACTAGATCCTTGAAATTGCCCGCATGCTGCGGAATTCAGATATCGCGCAGGAACGGACCGAGGAATGTCACTGGCACGAAGCAGCGTGAGCTGCTGCGGTCGCAGGTAAAATTGGAGCGGTCGAGGCTGAACCGACCGATGGATGCCGACGCTTTGACTGCGACGCTGAATTCGCCGAATCTTTCATAGACGATTATTTTATCTTCGGTAGGTATAATTAATTACTCTGATTATTTGGCAAACTAGTTTTACTGCGATATCGTTTCGACGATCATTATAACAGTTTGAGTCTGGCGATGCATTTTCCCGTTCCCAGCGTTAATTATTTCGCTTGATCAGCGTTTGCAAAATCGTTCCGCGTGAATTTTTCCGGGAAAAATCGCGAACGAATTCCCCAGCCGGTAGCGATTCCCCGGTAACGCAACACGTCCCTATTTTCCAACAGCCGTCCGTCCCAATTGGCCGCTAAACGCTAAACGGCTCTCGCCAATTTGCCGCCGCGTCTGGCACCGCTCGCACACGACGGCCTCGGCGCGCAATCGATTATCGTGGTCAAAACTCGCGGCAGTCGATACCGGATACGATATAACCCGAGCCCGATAACGAGCCGCGCTCCTTTTGGTGGCAGAATGCAAGTCCTCGGGACGAAGTCGAGGCAGAGCCGGCTTTAAAGCCGCACACAAGTCACGTACCGGCATGGGACCACCAAGTATTATGGCGCGTCCTCCACCCTGCCAGACCTCTCCCTCGACCTTCTATCTCTCTCTCTCTCTCTGTAGAGACCCGTCATATACATATTACGTGGCGTATAATGTAGGTGCCGCTTGCACACCGAGCCGGCCCGGTGTCACGCTACGTGCTTCCTGCCCGCAGGCCATGGTGTGACAAAAGGCCTTATGTCCGCCCGCTCGTGGAACACTCGTGATCGCAATGTGTAATCAAGCTCGCATGGCCACTGTATTACCACGTACATCTACCGTGGCCCGCGGCCATCCGCCTGTACGTGCACGAGCCACACGCACGCGAGTACGCGCCGCTTTTGGCCGGCCGTTTCCCGCGCAGGACGCGGCCACCCTCCCCCGTCTCACCCGTCGACCCCTTTCGCTCCTCGATCGGTTTCGCAAACCCGGCTATCGGCGCCCACTTTTCTACTCGATTCGTCTCGCCGTCGCGCGAACACGGCGCGCCCAAAACTGACCGCTTTTCGAGGCGCGCCTCCTGCAATTGGGTGCCACACGGTTCTTACACGACTCCTCGATTTCAAATTTTTATCATTCCCATGCGACGATTTAGTCCTATTTCTAGGAACAATATTGAAATAAAAAGGCTAAAGTATTTTGAATCGTGAAGATTTAAGGGTTGCATTTCTCTTATTAATATACCAAAAATGCACGTTTCAGGAAATGTTAAAATAAATATAATTCGCTAACGAACGGTTGACGAGCCGTGCCAGAAGCGCCTATCCGTTCATCTTCCCCCCTCCGAATCAGCCGGATTTTCGAGCGTTTTTCCACAAATTAAATGCGAGCAAAGCACGAGTACCGGCGAGAAAGTTAAGAGCGGAAAAGGGCAATCCTGCCGGACGAGAGCCAGTTGGTGCATGTTGCACTTTTGCCAGTTTGCGACCCGTGTTGGGATGCAGTCCGTTCCGAGTAACGTGTTTACCCCGACTATTGATCGAGGGGAGCGAGATCTCTGTATTCGGCAGAGGTGTGCGGCCTCTGGAAAACTTCGCCTCCAGGAGGGTCGGGGATTTTTGTCGAGTTTCAACCCCGGGATAGGTTACGAAAATTCGAGAGGCCACGGATTGCCGAGCGTATCTATGCGTCAGGAAACTTTCGAGACCTACCGCTCAGCGACTCGACGAGGATATTACACGCGTTTTGCAAACCGATTTTTATATTTTTCACGACTCCGATTCTCTTTTTTCTCACGTTTCGATTTAGCTCGGTATTTTGCAACACGGTATTCGAACGCTACGCGATTTTACGGGTCACTTCAATTTTTTCGACCTTTTCCAACAGTTTTATTTTTTTTCTTTTTTTGTTTTTATTCGCCCGAACTCGATTCGAAATTTACAAAGTGACACGGCGTTTCGCAATTGACAGCCGATCTAACGCGATCTTTGCGAGTTCAACCGAACTTCACTCGTTTCGACACGATTTTTTATTCCCTTCCCAGATTAAAAATATTACTAAATAATTTAATTTCGTTTAGAACAGAATAAAAAAGAAATACCTCTGGTAACGATGAAAATACTTGAAAAACGCATCGATTCCTCAGAGAAGATTTATTAGAAAAACTTTTCGATACGAAACTCGAAACTGTCACTCTTTCACTGTTTCGCGCGGCGATTTTGAACAAACGCCAAACACTTTCTCCACCGGAAACGATCAGTGCACCAGTGTCGACCGATTCGTCGAAATCACGATGTTCACACGGTGAGAATATTTATTCCGTCCGTAAATCTACGAGGCAACGTCTTTCTTCCCTCTCGGAAACGGAATTGTTAATCCCACGGCAAGTCGTCGGATCCGTAACGGCACAAGGCGGCGCAGAAAAGCGACTGCGGGCAATTTCTGCGCCAGTCGGCTCTAATCCGCCGTGAACAGCCGCCTTTCGTGATGCCCGTTACGCCGAGGAGAAAACGTCGAACGCTTCGGGTGTCCCGAGTGGCAGTAAGTTGAATTCCCAAACGGGCGGGTGTGGCGAGCGTCCCGCAACGGGCTTCGAAACGGATGCCGCTATCTCCTCCGACACCACCGCAACCCCGGCCCTTTCCCCTCCTTCCCTTTCTATACAATTACCAGCTTTTCTCAACCTTTCCTTTTCTTTCTACATTATTTTCTCGAATATGATTTTTTTTTTTTCATTTTCCTTACCGAGATGAATTTTTAAATAAATTGCAAAATTCGTCGACACTGTTGTCACCGAAAGGCACTGATTTTTCTACAGAAATAATGCCGCGTCCAAAATCGGCTCGCAGGTTTCGATTCGTGAAAGCGTAACACTCGCGACAGCGTGCTGTCAGCGACGCGACGCGTCGTTCAAACACTTTCCCGGCGCCTCGTGACGCTCTTCCTTTTTTTTTTTATTTCCAGCATGGAAAATTCTCGCGCATATCGTGTTCTTTTAATTATGCTAATCGACGATCCGCGACGATCTCGATCGTCTTCGGCGGGGATCAACGAGAAGACGAACCGGTCGTCCGGAGAAACGCGCAAGAAACACGCGTACGTATCGCGGGATCGACACGCAACGAACAAAGGAGACCGCTATCGGGAGAAGAAGGATCGACGATCGTATCCATTCATTTCCATATTTATGGAACATTGACGCGATACTCGTGATTTCGCAAGCCTTTAACGAGCCGCGGTACGGGAGGAAAAAAAGCGCAGCCGCGGCGAGTAAACGCACTTACGATTACCGCCGTCTTTTCGAATCGCCGCGACTTTATCGGGGCGAGCGGGTTTTGTCAGACGAGACGACGCAAAGAAATAAAAAAAAAAAAATAAAGAAGGAGCACAACACTCACTCTGTTTCGCATCCGTCGACGTCGCGGAGTTCTCGTGACTGGCCCGACACACTCGTGCGTCGGGATGGTTGAAAGAGAAAGAAAAAAAAAAAAAAGAGGCAAGTCGCGCCGAGACGGTGCGGCGCAGGGGAAAAAAACAAGGCGCACCGGGTTCCAGACGGACGGGAAATAAAAAAAGAGTGAAAGAAAAAAACAAATAAGCGGGACTCACGGAAACACTTGATCCGCGTGCTACACCAAAACACACTATCACCGACCTGTACGGGAGCACGGTAACCAGCGGAGTTCTCCTGAATCCTCACGTATATCCAGCGTGACGATCCGTGCGTGCCGCGTGTCCACGTTCCGAAAGTGTCACCTCCCTCCTCCGAGTCCCGGCTTCAGAGACGTGCACGAAGATTCGTGAAAGGAGGAAGAAGAGGCGAGAGATCGTCGAAGCCAGTCGCGGTTCGACGATGTCGGTGGCGCGCACTTCTCTGTCTACGCTCTCTCGATCTACTATCTCTCTCTCTTTATTTCTTTCTTAGCTTCTTCGACGTCGTTCGTTTTCCGTTTTGTTTTTCTTCCCTTCCTTTTCCGTTTGTGTATTTTTTTTTTTTTTATTTTACGTCCGTTATTTTTTTTATCTCCTTCAATTCGCCTCTCGAGAAACCACCAGCTAACCGCGCACACGTTCGATGTCGCGCCGCGGCAACGAGTCGAGTATAGGAAGAGAGCAGCGCGACGTGTCCGCGCGAGACGCGAAGGAAAAGGAGAGCGCGCGCGCCCTCGACGAAAGAAAGAGTAAGAAGGAGGCACCGAGCGTGTATATACCGCCGAGCAGATGCCGTAGGAAGAGGCAGGCGGCCCTGGGAGCGGGAGAAGGAAAAGCCAGCGACGGTGGCGGCGGCGGCAGACTCGGTTGACTCGGTGGCCGAGCGGTATCTCACCCGCGAAAAGCGTCCCGCGATCAGGTGACAGCGGGAGTACACAGACCGGCGCTACTTCGGGAGCGAGAAAGAGGTACTGACGGTGGAACGCGAGCGGATCCGTGCGAACGGGACGGAACGAATGGAACTCTCGGCCTCGGGACGGAGACAGAACGCCGAGTGTCGGCGTTGGAGGGGGAGCGTTGTGGGACGGCGGGAGGTTAAACACGCCGAACGGCGGCCGACCCGATAGAGAGGGAAGTCGAGGCGGGAAGGAGAGGATGAGAACGATAGCCGGCGCTCGTGCGTTCCGAGTGTGACTGACGGCGGAGAGGAGAAAGAAACGATGAAGAAGAAGAAGAGGAAGAAAAAAATGGGCAAAAGAACGGAGGAGAAACTGGCGAAGAAAAGGAAAACGAGGAACGGACGAACCGGAGTGGAAAGCGGGACAAAGAAGCCACACGGAGATCCTGGCTGGAAGAACAAAGAGAAATATAGTGCGTAACGGAGACGAGAGAGCAAAGGAGCAAGGGAGAAACGGATATAGAGAGGCGGCGTATAGCGTGGGGTACGTGATGCGCGACTCGTCGGGGTGGAAGAGCGCGCGCGTGCGTCTCTGTCGAAGGGGGAAGTCGAGGGAGAGAAGGGCTCCCTGATCGCTTCTGAGTGCAAACGGGTCGGCGTGCGGTGGGACACTGGCAGGCGGGCGGCTGGCTGAAACTGCTGTGGATAGCGGGTGGCGAGCGGTGCGATACTCTACGGGACGGGACGGGCCGAGAGCCGAGCCGGGACCCCCATCCATGTACAAACGCACACGGGCTGTCTGCCGAACCCTACACAAAGACTCTACGGACGCGCCACGCAGAGAGCCGCAACACACGGTTGCGTTCTCACACGGACAGTGAGTCAGGCAAGCGAGCAGGCAGGCAGGCAGGCAGGCAGGCAGGCAAGCAAGCAGGCAGGCAGACAGGCAGGCAGGCTCAGCGTGTACGAGCCACAGCACGTTACTACGCCAACGGCACTGCCTGCCCTCGGCTCGATTCGGTCTCGCTCGGGCGGCCGCGTTAGTCCGACTTTGCCGTCTTCGTCGGCAGCCTCGCTCCGTCTCCGTCGTCCTCGACTAACTCGTCTTTCGGCGCGATTCTCTCCTCTCTTTCTCTCTCATCCGCACCGTTCCGTGCCGTTAGCCCTCCCTCTCCTCCGGCTCCTCATCACTAACCTCCTACTCGTCGTTTTCCTCCCCCTTCCTCACGCTTCAACCGATGCTCTTCCGCAAGCGCGCACGATCCCGTCTCTCTTTTTCCCTACGCTTCTTCTCCTTCTCTCGGATTCTCGCCTACCATCGTCCCTCTTCCTCCGTACGTTCCTTCGCTCTCGCCGCGTCGTTCCTCTCGGCCCGTATGCACCGCTCCCTCGTTCTCCTTCACGGAGCGTCGGCTTCTCTTTGTCGCCTCGTCTTCGTTCTTTCGCTTACCTCTCGCTTTGCTCGACCCTACGTCGCTTCTCGTTCCGCCGTTCTCGCGTTCGTCCTTCTCGTTTTTCCGCCGTCCCTCTTCCACCGTCGCGGCGTTCTCCGTCGATGAGCGCGCGCGCGAGAGAGCGCCCACACCGGAGCGGTAGCATATCGTAAGTCCGCCTGCCTACCGGAGCTTTTCAGACACCGACGAACACGTTTGGAGGCCCGATATCACGAAAGAGAAAGAGAGGAGAGAAAAAGATGAGAGAAAAAGGGCTGAGAGAAGAACGAAGAGTCGAAGCTGATGCGGACGACGATGGATAGAGGAGGACGGAACGAGACGTGACCGTGGGGATGTAACGGGTGTGTATGGAACGCCGGCACGACGGCGACGACCGGGCCCGCCTTGTTCACGAATTTTTCGCCGCTCAACGGCCGGGATGAGTTTCGGGAAGCCGGCAGCCGTGGTGGAAATTGCTTCCAGAGAAATTGGATTTCACGATAATGGCGCGAATCGGTTCCAGAGATTTCCAGGAAACCAAAATGCCGCCGGAGGAATGGGAACCCGTACCACGCTTCGACTCGTCCCGTATTGGCGGCAGCTGTAAATTTCACGGTACACGCGAGACGGCCTCGTACGCCAACTATCCGCCATTCCCGTTTCAACTTTAGGCAGATCCCTGTCAACCGGCCTGGAAGAGATAAATTAAATTCTTCCTGAAATTTTAACGTCGGATGCGGCGTCAGCCGACGAGACCTGCGGTCGTCGATGAACTTAATTCAAAATTTGCAATTGCATTTTTATAAATCGTGTAAGCACGAGTATTTTACAGGACGTTCCGTTTTTGATACGCCCAAAGCTCGTACGGTTTCGAGTTCCCTCGGTTAAGTAGATTTATCCAATATCTTCGTCACTGCTAATTGGCTGGTCCTTCAAAGCACAGTCAATGCTAGTTACGATCGCAAACAGAATTAGTATGATACGCGGTTGGGGATCTTTCCTCTAAGCTTCGCTTGCTTGCACCATTGGGATTTTGCTCAAGTTCCGATCATGCTCTGTATCATTCTTACCAACTGATGCTTCATTGATTCACTGATAACGTTAGGCATTAATTTTAAATCTGATAAAGTTCGAGTTGGGTAGATCTACCCCTTCCCCGAACAGAACCAGTAAATCTCTTTTATTAGTAAAAATAATTCTAAGTTTCATTTTCTCCAAGAAAGTGTCTCCACACTAAATCATCGTTATTATTTAGAGGACAGTTTCGTCATTGCTAGGATCGCGCAATAAGATACGTTCGATCGGTAAAGCCCCTTGGGCCGTTTGAAAGGGCATCCCGTTGATCCCGGGAAGCGACGGGGATATCGGTCACAGCGTAAAACGCGCGGAAGCCTTGCTCGCTTTCGTCACGGCGCTTCCGATCGAGGGCAAGGCGCTCTCAGCTATTCCAACAAAGTATTCCGCACACAGAGCCGCGGGCGCAGTCACCGAGTCTCCGAAGTTGCCTTAATCTCGATCCACCTTGCCCCCGTCACTGGCAACGACAGACTTTGAGGGTGACTTTGAGTTGGCCGCGAGGGAGAGAAGGAGAAACGAAACGGCAAAGCCGAGAAGGACGGGGACATAATCCGGCCTGAAGAAAGAAGCCGAGCTTGGGATAAGTGGTAGAGAAAGAAGGAACGACGCGAGGGTGACGGGGATAGAACCGGTGAAAATACCTGAGCACAAAGGCAGGCTCGAAATGGCAAAATACAGCGAGTCCACGGCGGAACGTTACGGAGGACTTTGCGGGCCCGCATCTCGCGACAAACCGCGTCCGTTCACGCTACTTCTACGGAGCCGGCAAACGCATTCGTTTCGGGTTACGGCGTGATTGTCGCCTATGAAAGCCGGCCGATCTGTCGGCAGAGGGTTGCGGGGGACGCGGAACGAGCCGGGGGACCGAACACAGTGGGAGGGCGGTACCCCCTTAACACCGGGCACGAGGCAAAAAGGGGTCCAGCTGCGCCTGCATCCTTGTTCGGGCTGCTCCGAAGGGAGTCCAGGGATTATTAAAATGCCTGAGGAACGGGGAGAACGGGGGAGCTGTTCTACTGTTACCGGGGCTGCGTAGCCACGAAACCGGTAACCCTCCTCGATTCCCCCTTCCTCGGCCTCTTTTCGTTCCCCGTTCAACGTTTCGCCGGCTGATTCGGTATTCAAGTTCGAAGTCGTGCTGCACGGGCCGCTGCATAAAATCTACCTCCCTCCTTGCCACCGCTACTCCCCCCACCCCTACAATGATACCAATCAACTATCCGCCATCGACCCTACCAATCAGGGAGGCTTTGATCCGCGGCGACAACATTTTTCGGGGTTAATTCCGAGGAAGAACTACGCGTCTACCGGGGTTTGATCGATCGCCGTCTCGCGAGGCGCTGGGAAAATTCTTCTTTCGAAGAAATTTTTTAGGGATGATGAATCAGTTGATGCATCATCTTATTCGGAAGGTTTCGACCATTTTGTGCCGGATCATTTCGTGAATTCTTCGTTTTGCTTATATAATATCGTCCTCCGAATCCCTGATCTGTGTCCTTCATTTTTTAAATTAATTACTTTGTATCAAAA